ATACCAGAATATCATCAATGAACACAATCACCGACCGATCCAACATCGGCCGACATACCCTGTTCATGAGGTCCATGAACACAGCCGGGGCATTGGTGAGCCCAAAAGGCATCACCACAAACTCATAATGCCCATAACGCGTCCTGAATGCTGTCTTCTGGACGTCCTCGTCCCGTACTCTCACCTGATGATAGCCCGACCTCAAATCAATCTTGGAGAACCAAGATGCTCCCTGTAACTGATCGAATAAATCGTCGATCCTCGGCAACGGGTAACGGTTCTTGACCGTCAACTTATTCAGTTCCCGATAATCAATACACATGCGATGCGAGCCATCTTTCTTCTTCACAAACAGGATGGGTGCTCCCCACGGCGAGCTACTCGGCCGAATAAACCCCTTCCCCAGCAACTCCTGAAGTTGCGAGGATAACTCTTGCATTTCTGGAGGCGCAAGGCGATACGGCACCTTAGCGATAGGCGCGGCTCCCGGAACCAAATCGATACCAAACTCCACTTGCCTCACGGGAGGCACACCTGGTAACTCTTCGGGAAAGACATCTGGAAACTCACGCACCACCGGAACTTCATCCACCGAACTCGGTCTCTCGGAGATCACTCGCGTATCCATCACATACGCCACAAAACCCTTACAGCCCTGCTGTAAACACTGCCTCGCCCTAGCAGCCGAACAAAAGGCTGATCCAGAACGTGTACCCTCGCCGTAAACCGAAAGAACTCCCCCACTAGGATCTCGTATAGTCACCAGCTGACGCTCGCAATCGATAACCGCGCCGAATCGGCTCAACCAGTCCATGCCCACTATAACACAGACATCACCCATCGCAATAGGAATCAGGTCGATCGGGAACTCAACCCCAAAAATCTCCAATACACATCCCCGGAGGACCTCCGTGGCACAAATCACTCTGTCGGCGGCTATGGAAACCCGCAGGGGCCGACTCAGTGCCCCACGACTAACACTGATATGCTGACTAAATGTCAAAGATACAAAAGATCGACTCGCACCCGAGTCAAATAACACTAAAGCAGGTACAGAATTCACAAGGAAGGTACCTATGCATAGCATAATATAAGCATAATATCTCGACACCATAAATAAATAATAAAAAGAAAGCGTACCAGCCACAACGTCGGGTGCAGCGCGGACCTCTTCCGCAGTCAGCTGAAAGGCTCTCCCCCGAGCCCTCGGTGCCTCGGCCTTCACGGGCCGACTCTCTGTAGCAGTAGCTCTGATGGCGGCGGGAGCAGACCCCTGAGATGCTCCGCGCAGCAGCGGACACTCTGCCTTCCGGTGTCCGGTCTGGTTACAGTGGAAGCACACTGTAAACCCCTTGGGGCAGTCCTTGGCCATATGCCCCTCCTTGCCACATTTGTAGCAAGACCCCGCTCGACAGACTCCATCGTGACCCTTGCCGCACTTTCCACAAGTGCGGCCCTTCTGGCTCCCGGGTCGGGGATCAGCGGGCTTGGCCCGCTTGGCTGCCGGCTGGGACTGTGCCGGCCGCCGATCCCTCCCCAGAGACTCCGCCTCCTCCCTGGCCTGAGTCTCAAGCTCAATCTCCCTCTTCCGAGCATTTGCCTGAAGCTCGGCAAATGTCCGATACGAGGAGTTCGCAGCGAACTCCCGAATATCCCGTCTCAGAATGCTCAGGTAACGGCTCATACGTGCCTGCTCGGTGGACACGTGCTCAGGGCAGAACATCGCCCTCTCATGAAACATCCTCGTAATAGCTGTGACTGACTCGGTACCCTGCTTGAGGGTCAGAAACTCCTGTGTCAGACGTTCCCTCTCCACCTGAGGAACGTACTCATCTCGGAACATGGTAGTGAACCTCTCCCAGGTCACTGCCGAAAGCTCAGTCGGTGTGAAGTGTGCCGTCACAAACTTCCACCAGTCCTTCGCTCCCAAGCGAAGCTGGTTCAGCGCGAACCGAACCTTCAAATGCTCAGGGGACGAGCAAGTGAAGAAGCATCCCTCCATATCAGATATCCACCTCATAGCTGCCACCGGATCCTGCGTACCATCAAACTCTGGTGGCTTGGTGTTGCTGAACTCCCTAAACAATGTCGCATCACCTCCCTGGGGTCTTGCCGCAGCAATCGCTGCGGTAGCCGCTGCAACCGCAGCCTCAGAAAGAGCGGCATAGCGCTCGTCAAATGTCTCAATCAACGCGGTCTTAATGGACCCGAACATCTCTGGTAACTCAGCTCTGATGACCGCAGCCACCTCCTCATGAATGATCTGTCGAATCTCCTCATCGCTAGTTCCGGCATCCTCCGGCATGTGACGTGTCCTCACCATGATCAACCTCTGAAATACAACATGCGATAATTAGAATTTACTCGAACACTCTTACATTCGACAATCCACCCCTCCTTGATTCTTGGTATCCCAAGATTCTTATTTGGACTGTGTACCGCACCGGTGCTTTCAGTAGTACGGGCCCAATACTACTGTCCGCACCGTCTCAGTACACACCCCAAATCTTCCTCTTCGGATCCCAATCCCCAAGTACTCTATTATACTTAAATCACTCTGTAACAGGTCTCACACAAAGTCCTAGCTGCTACCTAATTACTCTCAGCATCTCATAGCAGCTCACCCTCCCTAGGCTAAGGCATCACAAAACAGGCCACTCTAGTCCTATTAGCAATACCTAGCCTACTCTAGCATGCAAATACATCACATTAATAATAATTATCACATAATATAAAGGTATTTTGGGAATTCACCGTTCGGGCGCTGGCTGATCGTACACACGTTTCTTCCTGGAAAATCTTTTACTCTTAGAAAACTTTGGTTTTATTTTGAAATATCTCTTCAATTCCTCAGTTTGAGTTCAAATACCCCCGAAGGTGTACCCGAATCCCTCAAACCAAGGCTCTGATACCAATTTGTAACACCGAAAATTTTCAAAACAAATTTTTCAATTTTTATAAAACATAATTCCATTGATATTCATAAAACAACCATTTTAATTATCCAAACAAGACAATACAAAATCCCAAGATCATGATATCAAGCTCCGAATGTGTGTGTGTACGGATCAAGCCGGCGCCTTCCCGCGGTCGTCACTAGTACCTGAAACAATAACATCAACACTGTAAGCACAAGGCTTAGTGAGTTCCCCAAAATACTACATATAACACATATTAGCCACTCGAGGCTATAACTCTGTGGGTCCGTGCACCCAAACTCTGTGAACCCTCAGGTTCTAACTCTGTGAACCTTCCGGTTCTAACTCTGTAAACATGCACAGCATCAATCACATAGAAGTAATGCAGTACAACACATAACATACATAGCATACAAATACTCTATCACATAACTCTGGTTACCTACTCAAGGTAAAGTATAGTGAGAAGACTCACCTCGCGTGTCTCGGTAAATCGTAAACCTGAAATCGCTAATCACTCGACCTGTCGAGCTGTCGTCCCCCTATAGCACAATACACCTCTAATTAACACTTTCCCAACTAGGGTTGACCACACTATAACAAGTCAATCTAGGTCAACGGTCAACGGTCAACTTTGACCGGACTCGGCGAGTACCCAGGCGACTCGGCGAGTCTGGGCGTGTACACCAATTTCCCTGGAATCCTCCCTTGACACGTCGAGCATTCCCTCAACTCGACGAGTTCCACCTGGCACGAGTTGTGGGGCCACCACGACTCAACTCGCCGAGTCTCAAGAACAACTCGGCGAGTCCAGTTAGACTCAGTCCACCTGTCCATTCTGACTCCCCCTTGACTCACTGAGTCCACCTTTCCCAACTCGGCGAGGCCACTCACAGAGTGGTCGGGCAACATTCATGCTACTCGCCGAGTCTGTTCTTCGGACTCGGCGAGTCCATGCCATGCACTGACTCAATCTTGCTCTAAAGGTCAGATCCAGTTCATTAATCCATAGATCCAGTCCCTCCAAGCTCATTTAGCACGTAAAGTTACAATCTTGATGCACATACAACCTCTATATGACCATATATGATGTTTATGACTCAAATACTACAACACAAGGTCAAAGACTCTATTGTCACTCATAAAGCTTGATGAGTGAGGCTCTCTGGACCTCTATGGATCCAGATCCATGGCCTCAACTCAAAGAGGGAACCAATGGGCATCAAATCATCCCATAAATGACCACCACAAGCCCTAAATTGCATCATGCTTCACTAAACAGAAAATGGTCCGAGATAATACCTCTAGAGTGATGATCTAAGCTCCAAATCCACGAAATAGCAACCTCCTTTGCTTCCTCTTGCCTAGGGTCTCCTTCTTCTTGCTAAATAACACACACAAGATCAAGAATGGCTCCTTTCTCTTCACAAATAGCTCAAGAACACAAGGGTCACTCACTGAGGGTTGGGTGAGCACAAATGACGGCCATAAGGCCCTTTAAATAGGCCTCAAACCCGGAGATTTAGGGTTTCATTACACAACGCAGACTCGCCGAGTCCATATCCTGGACTCGTCGAGTCCAGGCGCGCACCATTGTTCAATTCCGCGTCTCTACTCGGCGAGTCTGAGCTCCAACTCGCCGAGTCCCTCTCTCAATATGACAAAATTAGATTTACAAGATACCTGGTAAAATCCGGATGTTACACAAATAGGTGTGGAGAAGTGAGGGTGATATTGGCTTGACATGTCTTGTCATGACAAACTTTTTGGCTTAGATGACATTTGAATGTTGAAGCGAGAGAAAAAGAGAAAGAAATAAGAGTGACAAAAAAAATATATAAATGTAAATATATGTTTATTTTAATTTTTTTTTATCAATTTGACCAACCTTTTAGAGTGGTGTGTATGCATCTCTTGTGACAAAAGTCATATAAAGTGGTGTGTATGCATCTCTTGTGACAAAAGTATGCATCTCTTGTGACAAAAGTCATATAAAGTGGTGTGTATGCATCTCTTGTGACAAAAGTCATATAAGGGTGAGATGGCTACTAAAAAACTAATGTGGCAGCATGACTTGTTGTACACCACTCCTTCCTTCCTTCCCGATAATTTGGGCGACTTGCTCTTAACCTAAAAGTTGCGCTAGACTATCTTGGAACTCGAAAATTAGGTGTTAATTAGGGCCGTAGTTATGGTAGTGTGCATTTGAGGTGAGTGAAATTCAAACCTTTCGACAAGTTCCGCTTAATTTTCCTGAAACAAATTAATCTATTTTTATTGGGAATATGGCATCTCATAGTCTTATCGTAAACGGTTGTACAAGTTTGCGACATAAAAGCATTCAAATCAGAATACAAAGACGACCGAGACACGTGGTCTAACATTCCGCCGTTGGCGGGTCCTTGGAACCATAAGTGACAGCCGTGGGATGAGACTCCGGGTCAGGATCTTGAACCTTCACCATTTCGTTTTCTGGATCTCCTTTTTCAACGCCAGACATTTGCATTTCTTTGTTCTTTCCCCATAGAAGAATGTACAATCCTGCTACGACAATAGCGGATCCCACTAAACTGTTCACAACCAACCAACCAAAAACCGGATCAACGACAGGATAGAATAATTATATGATCAATGAATAAAGTAGCAGTACCTTCCAAGATGTAATGGTTCATGTAGAAATGGAATGTCGAATACTGCTGCTATTATCTGAACAAGAGGACTGAAAGCAGAACTGAAAACTGGACCCCTTTTCTTCACGCACCACGACATCCCAACAAAGCAAAACCCCGACCCTACGATCCCCTGTATGCAAATATTATCTGGAAAGTGAGATGGAAAGCTTCAAATCATTGTCATACAAATGCATCTTTCTTTTTACCCTTTATATACTGTTGCTACACTAAACATGAAGGAAAAGTATGGCAGTAGGCAGGATGCTTTTTAATTTGACTTACAGCATAAAGGATGCTAAAGACTTGTAATTTTCCCTTAAGAATCCATGAAGAAAGATCTCTGTCGACCGACAAACTTAAGGCAAAAGATTGGATGGCACCAAAGAACATCATGATAGCGGTGCTTGAATACTGCAATGGGTATTTCTTTCCAATGTTTGATTGTACAAGAAACCACGAAGACCACAAAACTGTACCCGCAACCAAAGCCAACGACCCAGAAGCCCATCTCGCTTTCCTTGTAGTCAATAACGAGCTTAGTCTGCTGATCGATTGAGTATGAATGGAGTCGGTTGTCACTTGCTGTTGTAGGTGGGAATGGTGGTTAAATAATGGTATTCCTTTGTACAGGGTCAGTAGCATGCCACCTCCTAAGCAGACTACTGTGCCTATCACTTTGGCTCTTCCAGCATTTGATTTTATGTTCACTCTTTCCAACCTGAAGCAACGTGAAGAAGAATTCTATCTATAGATAACATATACAAATATATACCAATACTGATTTACAATATGATAATTAAGGCTTTTGGAGCTAGATACCAACCCAAAGGGTAATGAGATGATAAAGGTGATGACAGGCACCATGTTGAGAAACGCACAAGTGAATGTCGCGGATGTGTATTGTAGACCAAGAAGGAACAAGTACTGCGTGAGCGATGCCCTGCATCATATCCAGCAGAAAACCCTAAATTAATATATAGATACCTCAACAACTTGGGACAATTTTGTATATTTCTCTTACTAACCCAAGAATTGCATTTACGAAAAGGAAGAACACTACGCTGTATGTGAGCTTCGGCCGGTTCTTCCTGCTAGAATTTTGCATCAAATAATCACCACATTCATAAAGATCCACGGAGTTAAATAGAATTGCATTCAAAACGAGGAGAGAGAAGAGAGATGTACCTTTCGAAAAAGAACGCTACAGGGGCCAAAAAGATGGTAGCGACACTCAGGCGATACGTAATAAAGACGAGATGGTTCAGTCCATCGACTATAACCTTTTTGAGGAGTACATTAATAGTAGCGAACACAAAATGGACGGCAACCATAACCAAAACGGGGTACCACTTTCCATTGCTCTTACTATCCATCGATCTTTTCGACTGAGTGGAAGGAGTTCACACGTTTTTAGTAGATTTTGTAAAAGCAAACCATAAAACAAGTTGAGAGAAACTTCTGGTGATGTCTAAATAGACATATAGGATACGGAACAGATTGCACTTTTGCTTCTCAGAGAACCGAATTGAAACTCTCTTAGATCACATCAATCGCTTTGTGCAGACAACTTAAATATCACACGAGTTTAATTAATATATAAGTATTTCTTTTATATTCTATTCTTTATAACTCTTTTGACTGTTCTTTTCAAACTAATTGGTAGTATTCGGGAATCAGCTGCTATCATAAACCATATAATCAAGCATCGTTAATGCATATTATACGCAACAACAAAAGGAAAGAACAAAAATAGATGATCTAATTTAATAAGATAGACAACCACACGGTAGCCTTCAGTTTCTCCTAATCATCATCATCATAAATAACCATAAAGTGGCATGTGGGTAGTTCTTTCTTTAAGCTAATAAGATTACTTAATCAGGCAATAGCATCTACTAAGTGGGGAATGCACTAGAAAGTCTCTCTCTCTCTCTCTCTCTCTCTCTCTCTCTCTCTCTCTCTCTCTCTCTCTCTCTCTCTCTCTCTCTCTCTCTCTCTCTATGTGTGTGTGTAACGGTCCCAAAAATTACTAAGTAAAAATTTCATTATAAAAACCAACAGAAACATCATTCAATCATTTCAAAACTCATCGAAACGTGATAACGTATAAATAGTTATTAGAGTACAAATCTGGTCATAAAATGCGATTACGTCGAGGCGTTCCCTTTTGAACTGGGAATACATGAAGCCATGAACGTAAAACTGTAAATACAAAGCTTAATGAATTCCTTTAAAATACCCCTTACTATACATGCATAACAGTACAAAACTTTGACCCCCTTTGGTCTCTTTCAACCGATATTGGATCTATTTCACCATCAGTCTCTTTCAACCGGTATTGACTCTATTTCACCCCCTTCGGTCTCTTTCAATTGGTATTTGGTCTATTTCACCCTTACAACTAAGCATATAATCATATCAATAATAGTCACAAAGGCAACAAGTACATACAAACATATCAACAAATATTACAAGGACAACTATCATCCTACAAACATAATCTAATGGTCCGGAATTGGTGCCTTCGACCAATGAGTATAGTGAAGAGACTCACCTCAATCGGTCAATGAATAGATCATACTCTCTCGGGTTGCTGGAGTTGAAGGCTCTCTTATTGAACGTAACCAAACCAACTCTAATTAGGAAACAAGAAAATCTCCTACTACTCATCGGTCCTAAAACTAAAGTAAGCTCTTAATTGGGAAAAAGACCATTTTGCCCTTTCGAGTCTTGGACCCTCCACAGTTGACCAAAACTCAACTGGTCAAAGAAAAGTCAACCGTCAACACAGGGGGTATGCATTATGTACTTTGTAACACCCAGAATCAGGAAGACCAAGAAAAGAAAGGTTAAGCTCTAAATCAAGAGTCAACTCGTCGAGTCCAGGGAGGAACTCGACAAGTCGGAGCGGGATCCGAGTCATTAAGTAAGTGACCGACTCGGCGAGTCAGCGAGTGGACTCGGCGAGTCTGGTCTGGGTGAGAAAAACCCTAATCTCAGAGGTTGTGCCCTATATAAAGCACATTATAACCCACCCTCAGCCTCTTTGCTCCCCTTTTGAGTTCCAGAAACCGTGGAATTGAGTGAGCCTTCATTATTTGAGAGAATAGAGCCTTAGAGGAGAGAATAGTGGAGAGGGGGTTGAAGATCAAGGGCTTTGATGCAAAGGAGTCGTGTAGATCCGTGATTTACTTCAGTTGGAGCTTTCATTTGAGGTAATAGTCTGTTGTTTGGGCTTATATGCATTTAGATATATCTTATGTTTGAGTTTTAGGCATTTTGAGTATGGATGAGATCTATTTCGAGTTTGGAGTAGATCTGAGGTTGCTACCTCAGATCTAGGTTGGTAATAACCCAGAAAGTCATAAAGTTTAGGCCAATAAGTTGTTGGTGAAGCCCCTTTGTTACAAACCCTAGCCCTAGAGTGTTCTAAGCCTATAACTCCTTGGTTACACATAAAGTTTTCCACTATACGTGGGGGTTAGGCTCTAGAGGAATGGATCTATGGATTTGAGCCCCTGCATGGCTCGAAAAGCCACTGTATGGATTAAGAACTGAAGAGACTCGATGAGTAACATAGGTGTACTCGGCGAGTTGGATGAAGTTAGGAAGCAACTCGACGAGTTGGAAGAACAACTCGACGAGTCTGTTGAAGATTGCCTTGGACTCGGTGAGTCTGTTCTTGGACTCGGAGAGTCAAGTCGTGAAACCCCAAACCCTTCGAGTTAAGACTCGGATCAGTCAGTTGAGTGGGGACCCAGTTAGTGGACAGGTCAGGACTCGGAAATCAGTAGACTCGGCGAGTCATGGTCTTACTCGGCGAGTCGAGTCGCGAATGAAAGGGATTTCAAAGCTTATGAACTCGGCGAGTCAGTAGGCTGACTCGGCAAGTAGGGTCAACCTGGAAGGTTGACTCATGACTGTAACCAGTACTTTGACTTTGACCAGAGTTGACTTAGTTGACTTTTGAAGGGCTGTTAGATTAAGTATCATTTTGATATTGGTAGTTCAGAGAGCTAGAGGAGCAGCGGCTCAGAAGGTTGTCGGTTAGCAGCCAGAGGGTATCAGTAGAGCTCAGTAGTTCAGGTGAGTTTCCTTCTAGTAGGAACGGGTCTAAGGCTACAATGTCGACTCGTTTAGCTAGCAGAAGTTTCTGGACTTCGGTCCGATGCAATAGTTAGTATGTTTGATCCCTTCGTGGCTCAGACAGGATCTATGTGTTATGTGTTCCGGGCTACGGCCTGATGCAATATGCAGTATACGTCTGTTCATGCTAGTTGATACGTTTATATTATGCTTTGTTCAGCCAGTTTCCGGACTTCAGTCTGATGCAGGGGGCAAGGCCCCAGTTAGTCTAGACTTCGGTCCGATGCAGGGGATAAGGTCCCAGTCAGTTTCGGGACTTCGGTTCGATGCAGGGGCAAGGCCCCAGTTAGTTCGGACTTCGGTCCGATGCAGGGGACAAGGTTCCAATCAGTTTTCGAACTTTGGTCTGATGCACGGGCAAGGACCCAGATAGTTCGAACTTCGGTCCGATGCAGGGGACAAGGTCCCAGTCAGTTTCTAGACTTCGGTCCGATGCAGGGGGCAAGGCCCCAATTAGTTCGGACCTCGGTCCGATGCAGTGGGAAATGCCTAGTATGTGCTTTATATGTTATTGTATGGTTTGTGGTAGTTTGGGGGAGCTCACTAAGCTTCGTGCTTACGGTTTTCAGTTTTGGTTTCAGGTACTCAGTTTTCAAAAAAGGAGCTCGGAGAGGTTGCAATACACACACCATAGTCAGTTAGCGTGGGAATGTTTTACTATGATAATGAGATTATGTTTTGAATTAATACTCAAAAATTATGTTATGACTTATGATACGGTTTTATAAATATGGTTTTAGTAATGTTTTAAAAGAAATTTTTAGTCGTGATTTTTGGGTCGTTACAAGTTGGTATCAGAGCCTTGGTTTGAGAGATTCGGACATACTTGAGAGTGTGTCTAGACTCAAACTAAGGAAACGGTGAAAGATTTTCAAAAGAAAAACATTTTTGAAAGGAATTTTTGGTAAAAAGGAGTTTGAGAAAAGAATAGAGTTTTAGAAAAAGCGAAAAGAATATTTAGAAAGGAAATCACTTGAAAAGAGAAAAAGGGTGTGGTGCATGCAATCAACTGAGATCAAGTAAGTACTCCCAAATTACCCATACAAGTTTATGATTATCAATTTCAATTTCAGTTTTAGTTCTAGTTTCGGTCTCAGTTTCAGTTTCTGTAGAACAGCATGCTAGTATAGGACTAAGGATCTAGGAGGATGCCTTATGTGCCTGCTTATGTGTTTCAGCCTTATGAGAATTGCATGCTAGTATTGAGTAGACAACAGTAGGATAGCATGTTTAGGTTATGTATGATAGTATAAGTTCAACATTGTATGCTAGTACAGTTTCTTGAGAATAGTTTGCATGAGTATGTTTCCTTTATCCGAATGCTGCTTGCTTTGTGCTTAGTGGGACTCTGAGTGATGGGAGTTAGCCATTAGGTGAATACGTCACGTCACATGTGGTAAGGATTGGATAAACTCAGAGTGCTGGATTTGACCCTATTGCACAGCTCTCGTTTGAGTCTAACCATTGTAGGGATGAGTCTTGTACTCGAAGGATTATCCGAGCCTCATTCCATGTGATGGTATTCAGGTGGTGGCTAATTGGCGTTGCAAGGAGGCCTTCAGCAACCGAGGACTGGTTTGGGTGGAGTCATAGGTTCCCTAGGGCAAGCCTAGGATGAGAGTAGCAAAGATTAGCAGTAGAGAAAAGGGACTTGGTGGAGTTGAGGTAACTCTTGAGGAAAGTACAGATATAGGTGGAAGGTAGTATGGGCCCGTACTTCTGAAAGCAGAGGATCTGTACTCGATTCAAGAGGGGTCGAGGTAAAACCAGGGAACTAGTAAAGTGTGTGAAAGATCCCTCAGCAGCGGTATGTATATTGATTAGATTTGTGATGTGTTTCCAGCATGGCGACATTGCGTGAGATATTAGTTGGCAGTTCAGGTGCCGGGGAAGGATCAAGCTCAGGCTCTAGATCTGGACAGTTTGATGATCAGATGAGAGATGTTATTTCTGCAGAGATTATGCGCAACATCATTGATCAGACTCCTGTGATATTTGGTTCAGTTAGAAGAGGCCATTATGGAGCTTTTGGACAGTCGTCTTGAGGCCTTTAGGGTCGGGATAGTTTCAAAGCACTTTGGGGCTCGTCTAGAGCCCGATTCTTATGGAGTTCAGGGATCCATCAAGGAGGGAGATCGCATTTTTAGCTCTTGCCATCAGGGGACGAGAGTGAGCAGGGCACCCTGTCTCCAGGAGAGCACTCTGCATGATTGGATAGTCAAGGAGGTTGCGCAAGCCATTCGCGAGGAGCTGCCCAACATCGTTGGACGGGTCACTAGTAGGTTGACCGCGAAGCTCCAGGACCAGACAGCAGTTGTTCAGTTGATGGATGGGGTCGACGAGGTAACGCATGAGCAAGAGTTGGACAGGGAGTCGGAAAGGAAGAGGAAAACAGATAAAACTATGGTAGCCGCAGGTTCGGGCAAGAGGCCTAAGGGGTCGGATTCGAGATCGAGGGACTATCAGAGTCGCAGTCGATGTGGGAAGTGTGGTAGGACACACGAGGGTGCGTGCAAGCGTAGAAG